TAAATGTGCGGTAAATGTTTTATAATGTTTTTGTAACCCGTTATAAATGATAAATGGCGGACTATAGATGCTGGATCAAATATTTATAACGCATTGTGTGCTACGCCGGGCTGCTACAGTTCAGGAAAGCCATTAATAATAAAGTGGATGGAAATGTAAAAGTTACGGACATGCCCAGCAAAGCCATTTATAATGAAATGTAAGATTTGGCTGTTGGAAGCGACCCGCGAGCCGAAGCTGTAGCACTGGCCAGGTTCTCCGGGGCCCAGGACGGGAGCGGGCTCATGAATTATTTGTGAGGTGTTCAGACAAGAATGTATACTTTCCATAGCGTGCCACATAAATATGCTATTAATATACCCAAGACAGCATGTATTATTCATCGGGCCTAATTAATTAATGGGTGGCCCCTTAAAATGAGGTGTCACAGCTTCTAGCCCCCTCTCTGCCTGGAGCCACGGGCACGGTGTTGGCGGGCACGCGGCCTGAGCGAGGCCCCGGCCGACCCAACTGTGGCCTCGAGGCGCGGGCAAGGAGGGACAAACCTTGGATGTCCTGCTGCAAGGCCAGCACAATGCCCCAGCCGTCATCTCTGTGCAGGCTGTCATCTCTGTGCAGGCTGTATGCGAGGGCGGCTGCTGTCCACCCCGGGGCTCTGGCCACATCTCCCCCACAAGGGTGCATCCATGACGGTGTGGCCCTGGGCAGGGAGACACGTTTCCCAGGGCACCTTTCCCCTAATGCCCAGGGCTGAGAGGCTCTGTCTGACAGTGAAGACGAGGAGGCCCCGGAAGTTCAGAGGCCTTGCAGGGTCCCAGGGCAAGCCAGGCTCTGGGCCAAAACTCCGGCTTGGCCCGCCGTCTCACTCTGTGCTTCCTGAGGAAGTCGGGGCACCCGCTTCTATGAGAGGCTCCTGCATCAGGGGTCCTGCGGGCAGGTCGGTTCGGGAACCCTGTCAGTGTGGCCGCTCCTGTGGGAGTCCCGGGGCATTGCAGGACATAAAGGTTCTGAGAAGTCCCTCAGGGAACGCTGCAGGGCCAGGGCACCTCCCTTTGTTCTCCCGCCTCCCACCCCTATCCCTGTCACCAGGCTTTTCCCCCATGCCTCTGAGGTTCAGGCCTGCTGTGCTTGGGCAAGGGACCCCGATTTGGCTCCAGGTTGGCCCATCAGCCCCGGACAAATTGGTTTCTTGGGGGCTGAACCCAGCTGACAGGTCTGGCGCGCCCCCGGGGCCCTGTGGCCCTCCAGAAGCTCAGCGGACCCACAAGCTAGAGTTGGCTTTTGGATTGAGATTAGTGGTGTCTCTGGCCCTGTCTCTCCCCGTCCCCCCAGGGTGGGGCCCCCACCCTCACTTAGAGAAGCAGAATGTGCTAGAAACAGGAGGTGGGGGAATCAAGACTGTCTGGCCTGGAAGTCCCGGCCCCAGGGAGGCCACTGGGGCAGGACGCCGGCCTGCGTGGACCCAGGGTCCTTGGGTCCTCGGGTCCCCACCCCCTTTTGGGGCCGTGTCTTCCCGGCTGAACAGGTGGTCCCTTCTCTTCGTGGATCTTCAGTCTCTTGGGCTGCAGGACAGGTATGATCAAGCCACCTTATCTATCATCAATCTATCTATCTATCTATCTATCTATCTATCTATCTATCTTTCTATTTATTTATTAAATGTTGTTTTTCTCTTTTATAGTTTATTGTCAAGTTGGTATCCATAGAACACGCAGTGCTCATCCCAGCAAGTGCCCTCCTCCATGCCCATCACCCGCCTTCCCCAAATGTTTATTTTTGAGAGACAGAGAGCACACTGGGAGGGGCAGAGAGAGGGGGACAGAGCATCCAAGTGGGCTCTGCACTTATAACAGTGATCTCAATGCAGGGCTGGAACTCACAAACCCCAAGATCATGACCTGAGCTGAAGTCTGATGCTCAATCAACTGAGCCACCCAGGTGCCCCCAGACCACTTTTAAAGGGTGACTGCAGGGGCACCTGGGTGGCTCACTTATGTGCCCGACTTTCGCTCAGGTCATGATCTCACAGGTCATGAGTTTGAGCCCCGCATCAGGCTCTGTGCTGACATCATGGAGACTGTTTAGGATTCTCTCCCTCTTGCTCTCTGCCCCTCTCCTGCTCTCTCCCTCAAAATAAATAAACTTTAAAAAGTTCTTCTAAATATAAATAAAGAGTGGTTCTATTCAAAGGGAAAGTGGGTGTGAAAATTGCGGGCACTGCTCCCTCCTCCCCAGTTTCTCTGTGGGAGCTACACTCACCTTTCTGTAGTCCTTCTTAGACCTTCATTCCCCCCTTAGGGCCTTTGCACGCACTGTTCTCTGTGTCTGGGAAATTCTTTCTGTCCTCCGACCACGTCAGATGTGCTTATCCTTCAGGTCTCAGCTGCCATGCTCCCTCCTCAGGGATGCCCCCTCCTGCTGTCTGAACCAAGACATGGCCCTTCCTTTACCACCGAATGAGTGGCACTAGTGTCCCATTGGGGTGCTGTCACAGGCACAGTTCTACCTCTGCTTGCCTACATGCAGTGGATAGAGGAACGCTAGCTAGTTGCTGTAACAAACATCCCCAATTCCTAGCAGCGGAGCCCAGTGCGCATTCATCTCCCCTTCGCCCAGAGGCCAATACACCTGTTCCTGGGCAGTGGTGGCCCTCCTCCTAGCCCTGCAGCGTCCCGTGCGTGCGGCCAGCAGACAGGGAAGATGATGAATCTGGGGGTGTACATAACACCTGCATCAGCCAGAACTCAGTCACACGGCCCTCCCCTATCTGCAAGGGAGGCCAGAAAATTGGTCCAGGCAGAGAAAAGAGTGAATGCAAAGGCCCTGGGGCAGGAGCAGGAGCCTGTCTGAGGGGTGGCTGGAGGAGGAGGAGAGGCGGGGAAGTCACCAATGCGGGGAGGGGTGCATAGCCCGTTATAAGGACTGTGCTTTCCTCATGTGTGAGGTGGGGGTGCAGAGGAGGGATTTGGGCAGGGGTGGCACACCCTCACCCCTGTTGTTACAGATTTTGTGAGAATGGATTGTAGGTGGTGACCAAATGTGAGGCACTGCTAGAAGCTTCCTGTAGAAATCCAGGCTCCCACCCACTGGTTGTGGCCGGTTTTCTGCTGGACTACGTGTGGGCATGGAGAAGAGTGGACCCCAGGCTTGTGGCCCGAGCAGCTGGCAGGAAAGAGTCATTGGCCACTGCGCGCTGGCCACGGATGGGGCGTGTTTGGGGTCCTGGAGGAGTGGCTCAGTTCAAGGAACCAGTAGGGCAGAGGCTCTGAGGCCAGAAGGGGAAGGGGGTGGTGTGTGGGGTGGGTGAGGCCAGGGAGTGGCAGGGGTGATAAGGGCCAGGAGGCCTGACAAGGGGCCTGGACTTTATTCCAAGAGCTGCAGAGGTCAAGCAGGAAAGTGCTTATCCAACTGGCTCTCTAGAAAGATCCCTCAGCTGCTGGGGAAGGATGGACTATGGTGGCCAGAGGGGGGCAACAGGAAGTGGGTGGGCTAGGGGTGTCCTGGCTTGGGGGTCCTAGAGGAGGGGGACAGGGCCAATGGAAGGACATGACATGCTCGTGGGGATGCCACAAGAGTGCTCCCCAAGACACTGTCCCCAGAGGAGGCCGCATGGTGACCAGCAGGGCAAGAGTGTAGCTAGACCTCTGGCCACCCCAGCCTTCCCTCTGAGAGAGGTGGGCCTCAGGCCTGTCTGCCGGACCCCTGCCAGCCCCCACTGGCCTTTCCTTTCCTCACTGGTTTTTCCAGTTCTCCCAGCCGCTGCCCTGGGAGTCAGGAAAGCTCTGTTGGGTCGAGGTTTCAGGACCAGCCACCCACCTGGCCGAACTGGCACGACATCATCCTTTGTCCTCCAGCTGGGAAAGCCCCAAGGGGGGCAGGGCAGTGGGCCAGGCCAGCCTTAAGCCCGGGGCCAGGGGCTCCTTGTCCAGCACCTGCTTGCGTGTTCCCTCCGCACACACCCCTCTCACCCGGTTAGGCAGCTGGGCGTCCACCCCTCCAGGCTCGGCCACAGGAAAGAGCTGGAATGCCAAGCGCTGGCTCTGGCCTGGAAGACTTCAGTTTCTGCTCCTTCCAGTGGGCACAGAGAGGCCACCCTGCAGCCCTGCCAGGGACCAATCATGGGGAAACACCTTCCTTCCCATGGGCCTTGTCTGGACAAGCCTTGGGGCCTGGTGGCTGGGTGGGTGAGGTCATTTCACATTTCTGCTGGCCACTGTTTCCGGCTGTCCACCCGTGAGGCCACAGCCAGGGCTCCACAGAGAACGTGGAGGGGGGCCGGCCGGGTGCCTGGGGGCCCCACAGGAGGCACCTGTGGAAAATCAGAATCAAGCCTCAGGACCCCCGAGGTGTGGAGCCCCGGGGTGTGGAGCCCCGGGAACAGCCCGAGGCTATTCGACAGGCCCAAGGGGGCAGACTTGTGGGGAACAGTAGTCCCCACCAGCTTCAGCTGCGCCCTCTGTAAACGGAGAGGCCGGAGCCTCGCCTGGAGCCCCGCCAGCAGGAGCACCCAGGAGGAAAAGACCTCAGAAAGCCCAGAAACTCGAGAGGCGTTCCCGCGCAGGGGGTGGGGGTATCCTCCCGGGAGGCCAGGGGTGCCCAGGGCCGAAGACTGGCCCGGGGGCCCCACCATTTCCTAGCCTCAGCTTCCCTGTCTGTCCTGCACTACTCCACGAGGGCGGGGTCGGGGGGCGTTGTAAAGAAAGTCCGACGCCGCCCGGGAGTCCTGGAGGCCCGGACCCCAGGGCTAGAGGGGAGGCAGGTGGGCGTGGCTCCGGGCGGGTCTGGGCCTCGCGGGGCGGGCCCTGGAGGGGGCGTGGCCTGTTCGAGGCAGTTGTCTGTGCTCTGGACTGGACGGGGCGGGGCCTGTAGGGGCGGGGCCGTGGCCCCGGGAGGAGGGTTTAGGGGCGTGGTCTCACCGGAGCAGGGGTTGGGGGCGTGATCTCCGGGATGGGGCGGGGCCTGCCGGGGGCTGGCTCCAGCTGCACTCCCGCCGGCGGCGCGGCTTCGGCTCCTCTTCGGCTCCCGGCCCGGCTCGGGCGGGGGTCGGAGCCCTGGATAGGCGGCGAGGTCGGTGGGCCGGCCGATCCGCGCGGGCGTCGGTCCGCTGCTCCCGGAGGTGCAGTTGGAGCCCCGCAGCCGCCGGGGCGCGCGCGCTGCCCGCATGGCCGCCATCAAGGCGCTGCAACAGTGGTGCCGGCAGCAGTGCGAGGGCTACCGCGACGTGAGCATCACCAACATGACCACGTCGTTCCGCGACGGCCTGGCCTTCTGCGCCATCCTGCATCGCCACCGGCCCGAACTCTTGTGAGTGCACCGCGGGCGGGAAACTGAGCCCCGGGCTGCTGGCGCCGGGGAGCGGGGGACTGCGGGGAGTGGGGTCCTGCGGGCACGACCCGCCCGGTGGCCTCAGTTTGCCCGTCCACCAAGTGGAGCTGGGCCGGAGCCAGCCCTGCCGGCCACCCCCGCTGACTTAGTCAGTCCGTGAGTCAGGCCGGCGTCCGGGCTTCGGCCACAGCCACTCCTCCCCGCGCGTCTCCCTGGGAAAGGGCCGGCGGGGCTGCCCTTCTGCACCGCCTGAGAACCCCGCTGCCCCAGGGACCGCTCACCAGATCAGGCGGTGAAGGGTCGCTCAGAGCTTCAAGGGCACTATGCCCTTGACCCTGCCCCAGCAGGTCCAGGCACCTTTAGGAATGCAGCCCAGGGGTGCTGTGGGGGAGGCACCGATGCAGAGCTGGAAGCCCCAGACTTCCCCGCTCTTGTGGGGCAGGCCTGCCTGGGCACCCTAGGGTGACAGGGTACAGATGGAGGCTGAGCTCCCATCCTCCAGACCCAAGACACGTGGGCAGGGGAGGGGACTAGGGCGACTCCCCGCAGGAGGGTCTTGGAGTTGGGGCTGGCACTTGTTGCTGGATCTTGTCGCCACCCTGGACCCACTCCATCGATTATTCACGCAGCCAATGCTCTGGCTGGGTGGCTGGGACCCAGATTGCTGGGACAGAGCTCTGTGTGATGAGGGCCTAGCCCCCAGCTTGAGGTGGTAAAGCTAACAAGGGAGGGTGCCATGACTGGGTGGATTAGGGCTCAGCAAGTCTGTCCCCAGAAGGCCACCTGCCTCCTGGAAAAAACGTGTTTAAAAGCACTCTGAGAAGTGGTCACTGGATCCAGGGGTAGTGGGGGGCATATGGTTGCCAGGGAAGTCAGGGGTTGGGTGGGGCCAGAGACAGTTCCTCACCAAGGCTTTTTTCTTTACATATGGGGGAACTGAGGCCCAAAGATGAGACACCCTTGTTCAGGTTACAGAGCAAATCTGCAGAGCCACGGCCAGCACTTGGGGCTCCCCTCCGGCACCCAGATGTGACCTATAGTCCCAGGCACTATACTGGGAAGCTAGGGTTGAGAAAGAGGCCTACCCGTATTTCCTGCTTCCAGCCTTCCTGCGGCCCAAGGTTGTGAAATACATTTGTGGAGCTTCAGGGCGAGCCGTCCCATGTGGCCCTTAGGCAGCAGTGTCTGCCCCCTGCCCAGGGACGCGCCTCTGTTACCCTTAGAGGCAGAAGACGTTGTGCAGAATGTGCTTCCACAGCGAACACGCTAAGCTGAGCTTTGACGGGGAGGTGGGCTGGGATGGGAGCAGGAGAGGAGGTGGGCAGACTGAGCCCTCTGTGGGTGCAGACAGGGTCCCTGGTGAGGCTGGCTGGGGACTGAGCCCAGGCAGCCTGGATGGATCAGCACAAGCCTGCAATTGTAGGGAAATAGGTACGAGCATCTGCTGGCCAGGAGCCCTGGGACCACACCACGGGTGTAACTGGAGATTTGAGGCTTTTCCGAGCCCCTGGAGCTTCTAGCAGTGCTGGGTTGGAGGCCCGTGTGTGTGTGTGTGTGTGTGGTGCGTGAGCCTGTCCCATCATGCACTGCCCAGGCTTGCATATGTGGGTGTGTACCACGCTGGCACAGGCAGGCGTCATATAACTGTTCATTTAACTGTTAATGAGTGTCTGCTGTGTACTCTACCCTGCATACTGAATACAACGGACTTGGCCCCTGCCTCAGGGAGTGGCATTGAGGGCATCTGGTCACTAATCTCAAGTCACTGCTGCCTTGGTTAATGTCCATCTGTCCCCATGGGACTTGTAGGTCTAGGAGGGTGGCATGTCTTTTTTGTTCACTGCTTATCCTGAGTGCCTGGAACTGCATCTGGCACAGGACAGGTGCGTGGTAGATATGAGTACATAGTTGGTATAGATGGAGCTATAGTTAAGGGCTTGCACTTGGGGCTCAGGAGATACAGCAGGAGTTTGGTAAGTGTCATGGCAAGGCAGGGGCCCTGCAGGTCCCTGTGTGCAGTGGGGAGGGGAGGAGGCCAGGGGTGCAGAAAGGGGGGATATCAGTGAAGAACAGGTGTGGGGTGCCATACTCCTAGGGGCGCCTCCAAGCCCAAACTGGGGGCAAGTCCCTCCAGGCTCCCTGTCCTTCAGAGACCCTCTGGTGGCAGGGGAGTGGACATCCGGCCCCGTGTCTCCTGCCTTTGCCACCAGGAAGTCCTTGCCTGCGCCTCATCTCCAGCCTTCCTGCTGTGCGGAAGCCACTTCCTCCCTGCGGCCTCCTCGGGAGCAGCTGTGAAGGAGCCGGGCACCAAGCCAGACAGGTGGCCACGGTGCTGCTCTGGTGCTAAGTCTGCCTCTGCCTCTGCCCACGAGATCGTGCAGCCCTGCTCCAGGAGGCACGCGTGACCTGCTGGTGGCCCTGTAGGGACCCCGGGAGATTGAGCACGGGTTCGGGGGGCGGGCTCACCCAGGGATGCCCCACCGGGAGTTAGCCGGGCGGCACCAGCCTGGGCCTCTCTCGGTTGTAGGGTCTCTCATATTGGCCTCAAGGGTGCCCGCCCCAGGTGCCCGCTCATGGTGCCCACCCGTGGTGCCCGCCGCTCTGCCCTCGGTCTCTTTCCCTGGCAATGCCACCTCTGCCCAGCAGTCAGGTGAGCGCCGAGCCGCCCAGAACAAACAACCCCCTTCCCACCTCGGGGCAGTAAACCTGTAAAGGCTGGAGCATGTGGCTGGGCTCCTTCTCCTTCCGAGCTGACCAGGGTGGGGTGCTGAGATCTTCAGGGGAAAGGCAGGAGTGGGGTCTCCTGCCAGGAAGAGGGGCAGGAGCCCTTCTGGGCAGCAGGCACAAGCACAGGGCTTCCTTGGGCTCCTACTTCCGGACGATCCACAGGGGGCATAGAGGGGCCAGGGCAGTATGTCGGCGAGTGGGGCTTCGGCTGCAGACTCGAAGCGTCTCTCAACCACTCAGGCCCACAGGGAGGGGCACTGGATCTCTCTCCAGGTCCCTCCAGCCTGAGAGGCCGGTGCCAGGTGTCAGGGCCGTGGGTGCTCTCCCTGGCCATGGCAGGGCTCTCTGAGACCCGCACAGAGTCCAGACTCAGGAGGGGCCCCCACGCAGACACTCAGAGACGGCCCTGTTTCCCTTCCTGGGCCAGAGCAGAGGGTGGGCTTGGCCCAAGCCGCCGGGCTGGCCTCCCCTCCCACGCCAGCCTCTTGGCCAGCAGGAAGCCGCCTGGGGACAGAGGCCTTCTGTTCCCCAGCCCGAGGGCCTGCTGCCCGGTCCCCCCTCTGCCGCCTTCTGGCCAGACTCTCCAGAATGGACACAGTGGGGGCTGTGGGCACCCTGTGATTGCCCTACTCAGGCTGCCTCGGGAGCCTGGGTCTGACTCTCCCGGACAGGCCCTGCCCTGGGCCCAGGCTGGGGGTCAGGGTTTGCTCTGGCCTGGTAGCCGAGGCTGAGGCATCTCACTGGCCCACCAGGTGCAAGGAGGGTGGGGCCTGGGCCCTGCACCCACCCCAGACCCTTCTTCCTGGGGCCTCGGACGCCTTGTCATGTCCCATGTCCCGAGGTCTGTGCCAGCCTCTACCTTGTGCCTCCCTCCCCTCTGCCGTGTGGCTTGTCTTGTCTCTGTCCCTCTCCATCTCTGTGTCTCCCCTCTTCCTGTCTGCTCCCCTTCCCACTGGGATTAACTCCAGATGTGCTGGGGGTGCCCGGAAAAGGTGCCTTCCCAGCCCAGCACCCACCCCCCACAGGGCTGTTTCATTCTGGGAAATAAACAGGGTGAGGTCAGCTCTCCAGGAATTTGGAAGGGGGTGCACATTCCCAAGAGCCCCCAAAGCCTGGGGGCAGGAGTCTGGCTGGCTCAGTAGTGTGAGGTCAACAGTGTGGGTCGGCTGTGGCCAGGGGAGGGGCCGTGCCTCAGGCTCTCTGGGCCGGGCTCAGGCTGTGCACACGCTGGCCCCGGGCACACGGCAGATGATGGGTCAGCGTTTACACGACGCCCATGTAGACCCAACTGGTGCGTTCACTGGCTCATGCTGAAAGAATAGTTGGACGCCTCAAAAGCCCCCTCACTTGGCAAGCATTGGAAGAATTCATGCATCAGCGAGCATTTACAGAGTGCCAGCTGTATGCAGGTACCTTGGACTTTTACCAGAAAGAACCTGAATTCAAATTATAGGAGTTTGACTAAAACATGATCTAACTTGGGGGTGCCCCAGGCCCCAGGCCGTCCAGTGCGGGGTTTCCTAGGTCGTAGCCGCCTCGCCGAGAGGCAGCCACTCCTGGCACAGCCAGAGAGCGGGTAGGCCACCTCCCGGAGGGCTGGCCAAAGCTGTGTCCTAGGAGGCACCGAGTCTGGTGCCTGAGGACGGCCTCCTCCCGAGGCTCCAGGCCTCTCCCCCTGGGCTGGTAGACCGCCATCCGTCTCCCCTTTGTGCACGTCTGTGTCCTGATTTCCCCTTTTATAAAGACACCAGCCACCATGGATCGGGCCCACCCTGCTGACCTCATTTTCAATGGATTCTGTTATAAAGACCCTGTTTCCAGAGAAGGTCTCATTTGGAGGCCCCGGGGGTGACGACTCCAATGGATCCTTCTGGGTGGGGGGCACGGTTCAGCCCATCTTAACAGGAGTCCCCCCTGATGGCGGAAAGCCGGTCACGCTGGGCTTCCTGAGAGGGACGGGTGTGGTCTCTACTTGGCTTTCCCTGAAGGGGTTTGCAAGGCAGCTCAGTCCAGGCCGGCCCAGAGCTCCGGGCCGGGCAGCCCTCAGGGACAAAGGCGATGCCGGCCGAACCCCATGCCGAGGGGGATGTGAGCTCATATGGCCGCTAGCCAGAGGCAGAGAAGTGTCCTCTCGGGGACCTGCAGGGTGCCTGCGGGGAGGGGCCCGATGGGGCGTGTCAGGCAGGGAAAGTGTGTTCCGGGCGCTGGGAACAGCGAGAGCCAAGCTTGGGAGGCTGGGAGGGCAGGACCCTTGGCAGGGAGCTTGGTTCAGGAAAGCTATGGTAGCCATGAGACTGGCCAGGGTGGTCCAGCCCCACTGTGGAGGCCTTCAGGGCCCAGGGAAGCGGCTAGGACAGGGTCCTGAGGGGTGGTGGCCCTTGAACTTGAGTGGAAGGGCAATTCTTTCTGCAGCTTCCAACGTACACACCCTTGACCCTGCTCAGTGGGGGCTAGCACCACTGTCATGGGCGCCGGGACCTGCCCAGAGCACTGAGATGCTCGCTTAGGGTCTGGGGGAAGGGAGGTCCCCCCTCGGAATCCACCGGATGCAGCCGCTGCAGCCTCCTCCCCATGGCAGATGCAGGGGGCAGGGGGCCTCCTTCTCCTGCATGTTTGGAGACAAAACAAAGCTTGTGACCCTGCCCTCCCGCCACGAGGGCATCTTGCTGAGATGCGGTCTGTTTCGGTCAGTGACCCGGGGCAGGTCTGGAAAAGAGATTGAACTTTCAAAGGGATGGGGTGGGGGAGGGAGGGGAGCCCCTGAGGACAGAGGCCGGGGCTTGCCGAGAACCTCTTGGGGCGATGGATGGAGACGGGCTGCTCCCCGTGCTGTGGACACTGGTGGGACAGACCCAGGGTGACATGCGCATGCAGCTGCACTGATAAAGCAGGAGGGTGCCACACCTGCCCCCTCTGGCCATGTGTCCACCTGGAGACAGCTGCCTGCCATCTTGTCCTTGCACAAAAGCACCCTCTGTGCTCACGGGGTGGTCTTAGCATCTGGAACACGTTACCTGGGAGGTGGTCGGAGCGGAAATGGTGAGCTTTCCCCAAAGCCAGCCAGGGTGATGGAAGTGCGGCTGGAGGCCGGCAGGGGCCTCCTAGGAGGGAGGTGGGTCAACTGCAGCCCCATCCGCTCCCTGCTGAGTGGCCTGGGGCCCCCGCCCTGCTCTGCTGGGACCCGCCGCAGCCAGGCCCCCCAGCCTGCGGTCAGAAGCTGCCGCCCCCCCTCTCAGACGAGCACTGTGTCCTGGGAGAGGACAGGGCTCCCTTAGGGTCCCATGGTGCAGCTTGGCTGAGTCGACCCAGATCTCAGCCAGAGCCCTTCCTCACACTGCAGGGCTTCCAAAACAATCCAGTGCACACTGAAGGGGCAAAACTGCCGTTGAGGGCCTCACGGACAGCAGAGGACAGACAGATGGGTGTTTGAGCGGTCCTTCCTGGAAATGTCAGCCTGCACCCGGCTGAATGCCTGCTGGGCCCAGCTGTGTTTTCTGCTCTGAGAGACCTTGCAGGGGTGTGACAGGCTGAGATGCACCCATGTTGGGTGTGGGTGCCGAGTCCCGGGGCCAGCCTGGTGCTGGTGTGGGGGTTGCCTCAGTGTCTGGATGTTGGTTTTACTCTTGGCCTCCCCAGAAAGGCCCACTATCCAGGCTGGGCCAGTGAGCCCATTCTTGGCTGCTGTGTGACCTCCTTCCCAGCTGCCACTCCTGGCCTCGGTTTCCCTGTTTCAGCAAGATCACCTCTGAGCTGCTTTGGACACCTGTATTTTTACCTTCCAGAAACTTCGATGCTCTCAGGAAGGAAAACATTTATGAGAACAACCAACTGGTGAGTGCCCGCGTTCCTGACTCAAAGCCGGCTTGGTGGGCCTGCCCTATGCCGGCACCCAGGTCCCACGGACCACCCTCAGGCACCTCCGGGGCAGCTGCGGTAGTCGCTGCCGGGGTATATGAGCACACGGAGGATGGAGACACGCTGCCGAGTTCTGCAGCTGGTCCTGAGCCGGGTGACCCCCAACCAGATGTAGCCTCCAATCTGGTGCCCAGGCCCTCCCATCCCCCTTTTTCCTTTCGGGGGAGGAAGGGGTTGCAAGTGGCTGAGCAGGGTCCGGAGGTGGCTCTGGGAGGACGGGGCCCTTGGCTTGGCCCTTCCCCACCCTGTGGGGAACAATGGCCCTGAGCCCACTTGGCAGCCTGGCCTCCAGGGTCTCAAACACACTGCCTGCGGCCCGCTGTCAGCTGGCCAGGCCCTGCCCTGTCCCTGCCTCAGTTTCTTTGCTTCGGAATAAGCCCCATTATCGCTACGGGCTGATGCCCAGAGGGGCAGACACAGGCCCTGAGGCCACTGGTCCAGGGCTGGCTCTCCAGTGGAGGTGACAGACCGAGCACTGCTGGTCAAAGCTGTGTGTCCCATGCAATCCCTGCTTGGCTCGGGGACAATTTCAATTTGAGTTTAACATAATTAAGATGAAATAAGATGACAGACTTAGTTTCTCGGCTGCGCTGTCCACACTGCAAACACTCACGTTGGGCAGCTTGGACTAGAGCTGGTCCATCCTTGCAGAAAGTTGTGTTGGGGTGCTAGAGCGCCTCTGTGGCAGTGACCACTTGGGGACAATGGAGTGGAGGAGTGTGCAGCCATGGTCTTCGTGAGGGGGGCAGGGCAGGCCTCTGTGAGTGAGGATGGAGCCCCATGGACTCTTGGAGGAGGGGCATGCCTGGTGGGGGTACTGCCAGGGGCAAGGGCGCTGGGCAGGAGGGCCCCTGGCTAGGATAGGAGAAACAGCAAGGGGGGGCACAGCCAGAACAGAGTGGGAGTGTGACCTGAACAGTGAGGGTGTGACCAGAATAGAGTGGGGGCGCGGCCTAAACAGAGTGAGGGCGTGACCGAAACAGTGGGGGCGTGGCCGGATCAGAGTGGGTGGGTGGCTGGAATGGTGAGGGTATGGCTGGAGGAGGGCATGGGAAGCACTTGGCTCCTCTCTGAGGGCTGCTGTGCTAGCTGCAATCGGGGTCTGCAGGGTTTATGTTGACAGCAGAGTGGGTGGTGAGAAGACAATGGTGACAGCAGGAGGAGTCAGATTTGGGGTGTATTTTGAAGGGAAGTCAAAAGAGATTGGAGGTCTTTGACCTGAGTATGGATGGACATCACCACTGGACAGCCTATGGGCCTGGGAGCCCCATTTTGGACACCTAAAGACCAAGGTGTCACCCTCAGACACAGCGAGGGGTCACAGTAATCTAGGGGAAGTGTCCAGATGGGGTCTTGAAGGTGGTCAGGTGAGGGATGGGCACCTACAGGTAGGAGATGCCAGATGGGCCAAGGCCAGGACCAGCTCTCCAGCAACCTCAATCCTGCCTGGTCGTGATATGAACCCCATTGTACAGATGGAAAAACTGAGGCTCAGGGAGGCCATGCCTGAACAGGCCTTGAACCTTGAACCCAGACCTTTCTGGGCCCGACTGGGTTTCTGGCCTCTTTCCTTGAGGAGCTTGGTGGCCCGGCTGAGAGGGCCTCCTCCCAGACCACCCGTGCTAACCACTCCCACTCCCCCCCAAGGCCTTCCGTGTGGCCGAGGAGCAGCTGGGCATCCCAGCCCTGCTGGACGCTGAGGACATGGTGGCCCTGAAGGTGCCTGACCGGCTGAGCATACTGACCTATGTGTCACAGTACTACAACTACTTCCACGGACGTTCCCCCAGTGAGTCGGGGCTGGAGGCCTCCCTGGCCAGCTCAGCACCGGCCCCCAGCATTGCCCGGGGAGGGGTGCGGGTAGTGGGCAGGGTGGCCCCTCTGGTGCCACACATGTGGAGCCCCCCATGAGCCTAATGGTTCCTCTGAGGGGGAGCAGGGGCCCCCCCACCACTGTGATGCTGCCAGGGTTGAGCAGGGGCCCCAGGCCCCACACCCACTTGTCCACTGAATGCATGAACCCAAATCTTACTTTTCTTTCCCCTCTGGGCCTCAGTTTGCCCATCTGCACTCCTGGAGCCTGTGCCCGCAAATCTGACCCCAGGATGGGTTCTCAGGTCTGACTCCAGAGGTCCCCACCCCCCCGCATTCGGTCCTGACATTTGGCCTTATAGACACCAGGCTGGCCCTGGCCGGGTGGGGCCTCCAGGCAGGATGGGTGGGTGGGTGGAGGCCGGGCCCAAGGGACTTGATTCGGGCTGCTTTGTGCACCCTGAGGCTCAGCCCCTCCCCTCCCCCCACATTCCTAGTCCAGCCGTAGGAATCCCCGGAACAACTCTGGGCACAGGACCAGCCCCGCCTTGATATTTCCACTTTGTGGAGAAACAGAAAAGTCCCGTTTCTCCTGACCCCGGATGAGGGCTCTCAGAGCCAGAGGGGAGGGGCGTGGGTGAGGCCAGGCCCTGCTGGGAATGTGCACTTGTGGTTGCTGGGGCTGCGCCTCCCAGGCCCCATAGCAGCAGGAGCTGCCCATCCCAGCACCCCCAGCTGCAGGGCCCGTGGTGGGCTCTGGCACCTGCAGGGGGCCCGGAGCAGGGGGGGCCCTGATGCTTTCAGGGCCTGACCCCCTGTGTCTCGTGCCAGTTGGGGGCATGGCTGGTATCAAGAGGCCCCCGTCAGGCTCCGATGAGGAACCGTCTGGGAAGAAGACCCCATCCCAGCCGGCCAGGCCCTCACCCACCCCAGCCCAGGGTCAGCCGCTGTCTCCAGCTAGCACAAAGCCTGCTGTCCAGTGGAAGGATGGGAGCTCAGAGCGCCCCCTGCCAAAGACTGTAAGCACCCTGGCCCTGCCTTCCTTCTGGCTCTTGGGACTGAATGTGACCTTTATGCCCTGAGGACCTGGGATGGGGGACCCTTGGGTCCCTGGCACGGCCTCAGCTGCTGTTTATCAGGAACCCACCGGGATTGGCTCCACAAGCTCCTTCAATCCTGTGGGGTTGGGATATGATCCCCATTGTACAGATAGGTAAATAGCCCCAGGAAGGTCATGCAGGCCGAGCAGAGCTAGACCTTGAATCCACACCTTTCTGGGCTCCTGAGCCATTTCTGGCCTCGCCTCCCAGGTGGGTCAGGAAAGAACCTTGGGTGTGTCCTTCCTGCCTGTCCAGGGTTCGGACGGAGGATGAGTGACATCCTGTAGTTGGGCTCCCCCTGCTGTCTGAGGGACTGGAGTGGATTCGGCCCCAGACTTAGGATTGCTGCCCTGAGGGGAGGGTTGGGGGGGGGGCGGCGGGCAGCGGCAGCAAGAGGGCTGGAATCTGTCCCCTGTTCCTCCAGACCCTCTAGGTCAGGTCCCTAAAGCCCCTCTCCTTGGCCCCAGACCCTGAACTTGGGAGTCCAGCCGGCCTGGGCGTGGGCCATCCTGGCTGTGCCTGGCGGGCAGCTCTCCTTGGGGGCTCAGCTCCCTGGTCCGCACAGTGGGGTCTTCTTGTCTGCCGATGTGGCAGCTGTTAGGAGGGAGGGTGGGCACGCCACCTGCCCTGGCCAGTGGTGGGGGCTTGGAAATGTCAGCTGGCACCCCTCCCAAGGGCCAGGCCTCAGCGGGCAGCTCCGTCAGCAGCACCTGTGGGGTCTGCGGCAAGCACGTGCACCTTGTTCAGCGACACCTGGCTGATGGGAAGCTCTACCACCGGAGCTGCTTCAGGTGGGTCCTGTGAGTGTGCATGCGTGTGCACCTGTGCACGTGAGTGTGCACGCCTGTACACGTGCACATTTGTGAGCATGCATGTGTGCTTGCCTGTGCGTGCATGCATGTATGTGTGCATTTGCAAGTACGTGTGCACCTGTGCACAGCTGTGCATGTGTGCGTGCGTGGACACACATGTACATTTGGAAGTGTGCGTGTGTGCCTGTGCATGTATGCATATGTGTACATGTGTGCATTTGTGAGTGTGCATCTGTGTATGTGTGTACATGCGTATACATTTGCGAGCCTGTGTGCATCTGCACATGTGTGCGCTTGCATGTGTGTACACGAGTGTACGCACATGTGCACCGGTGCATGTGTGAGTGTGTACACACGTGTGCACTTGTGAGCGTGTTTGCCTGTACACATGTCTGCATGTGCACACGTATGCATTTGCGAGCATGTGTGTACCTATACATGTGTGTTCATGTACATACATGCACATTTGTGTGTCCCTGTGCATATGTGTGCACACACGTGTGCATTTGCCAATATGGGTATGCTCCTGTACACACGTAAGTGCATGTACATGCACATTTGTGAGTATGCGTGTGTGTCTGCACATGTGTGTGCACGTACATGCAAACGCATTTGTAAGCACCTGTGTGTGCCTGGGCACGTATGCACAAGTGTGTACACATGTGCCTCTGTGCACATGTGCGTGTGTGCTGACAGGCAGAGACCCTTTCTGGGTATCCGGGGTCCTCGTGGAGTCTGTGACTCAGGTGGTTACCACATGTGAGGAGAGGTGTGTGTTGAACGAGCAGATGTGGGGATCCACGAGTGTGCGCTCCTGGGAGTGTATGTGAATGAAGGCGTGCATGCCGGCCCGGAGCCTGCTTATGGCTCTTCCTCTGCCTGCACCAGGTGTAAGCAGTGCTCCAACACACTGCACTCGGGGGCCTACAGGGCCACTGCTGAGCCCGGCGTCTTCGTTTGCTCCAGCCACCACCCCGAAGCCGCCCCTGCAGGGCCCACGTGGCAGGTCCTGGCCCCCCGACAGCCAAGGGCCGGCCCCTCGGACTCCAAGCCGCCCAGAACCCCGGGGAAGGCCCTGGAGGCCAATGAGCACAGAGACACAGGACCCAATGCCAACACAACTCCCAAAGGTGTCGCCCCCACCACAGCTGACCCTCGAGCCACCAACTCCTCCCATGTGCACACAGCCAAGTCCTCAGCGGGCCCCCTGGGGGGCAAAGCCAGCATGCGTGTGGCCAACAGTTCCCCAAGAGGGTGGTCCTCACTGCTACAGGACACCACCCCGATCGCCCCAGACTCTTGCCCAGCCACCCCACAAGGCCGGGTGATCCCCCAGGTGGCAGCCCCCCAGACCAAGCTCAGGTTGGGCCCGGCATCTCCAGGCCTGGCAGACACCCCAGACGGGCCCCCATCGGCCTCCAGGGCACAGCAGGCCCGGGAGAATTTCTTCCAGACGCCTGGAGCCGCCCCCTGCCTTGGCCCAGCTGGCAGGGCCCCAGCTCCCGCGGATGTGACTTCTGGGGACAGCAGCAGGGAGCAGGCACGGAGCTTCCTGCAAAAGGCCCTGCCAGGGCCCAGGGACACCGGCACTCAGGAGCCTGGCAGGTGGGTGGGGGCTGGGGCAGCCAAGGAGGGTTCCAGGCCTGTTTCCTCAGGTGGGAAATGGGAGAATGAGATGGGACCCAAAGCGCCTGGAGGTAGGCAGGAGGGGGGCATGGTGGACACACTCTTGGGGGCCGCTACATGGCACACCCTGAGGACACCCGATGGGGTACCAGAGGCTGTGAGTAGTCCCCGAATCGTGTCTGGCCTGGGTGGAGCTCAGCCTCCTGGCCCGTGTTGTACACCAGACACACATCACACAAAATTGTTCTCTCCCAGTTCCTGAGGCTGGAAGGCTAAACTTGAGGTGGGCGCTCCCCCCAGGGCCCTCGGGAAGGGTCCTTCCTGCCTCCTCCAGCTCCTGGTGGCCCTGTGTTCACAGCTTGTGGCCACACCCTCTGTCTCAGCCTCCAGGGCCACCCAGCCCGCCTCTTCCCTGTGTCTGTCTTCCACCTTTCTGTCTCTTATAAGGACACCCATCACTGGACTTAGGGCCGCCCTAATCCAGGATGACCTCATCTAACCTTGGTTACATCTGCAAAGATTCTTTCCAAATGAGGCCACACTCTGGGCTTCCGAGTAGACCTGAGTTTGGGGGGGACACCATTCGGCACACGGCAGTAACCTAGTGAGTAAGGGGACTGCATGCCAGGCTGGCTGCCGGCACTGTGCCCGCTGCCTCGTGCTGCCCCTCATTGTGGGGGGAGCATTCTGGCCTGGAGCTGCCTGGCCCCTCTGGGTCAGCTGGTGGTGCTCAGGGAGGCCGAGCCCACCCCTGCTGCTGCCGCCCTGGGGTGTCCGGGCACCTGGGGGCCAAGGCTGCATGGCCATGTGAGGGCTCTGCATGCGGGGGGCTCTGTCCGGCTGTCTGCCTAGGGCAGGGCCCAGCTCTCCTGGCCATCCTGGGCCCAGAGAGCAGGGGCAGAGCAAGTGGCTTCAGAGAACTGGGTGCAGAGCAGCACTCCCGGCTGGAGGGAGCACCCGCAGCCCTACTTCCTGTACACAGGTGCGCCCCAGGGGCTGTGGGGTGGCCCAGTGATGGGCAGGCAGCCATGTGGAGGGGCTTGCGCCTGTTGCTGAGGGCAGGCGGGGTAGGCAGGCCTGGCTGGCCCTCGGCTCTGGGCAGCGCTTCTAGGCAGGTAGATGGAAGGCAGGGCTGTGGCTGGGGCCCATCCCATGCCCCATGAGAGGTGTGTTTTGGGGCATTTTAATCTCAGCTATTGCCAGAATTAGACAGGAAGGTAAAATCAGGTGCCAATATACACGTGTCAGAAGTGGGTGCCCTTGGCCTGTCTCTCGGACGGGCTGTCTGTCTCCCTAGGAGGGTGGGTATTAGGACCCAGCTGCCAGGGGAGGCTGAGGGGCTTCTGCCTGAGGGTCCTAGAGGGAAGGGTTCCTGGATCCACCTGTGCCTGATGCCTCCTCTCTCACCATAGGCCCTCCCCTGTCACCTCCCCTGCTCTGAAATCCTACACCAGAACAGAAGGGCCACGAGCAAGTCCACTGGCCAAGCTGTCACAGCTGGCATCTCCCCAAGCCCTTAGTCCCCCTTCAAGTACTGAGCCTCCAGCCCCCCTAAATGGGGGCACCACCTCACGGGCATCCACACCACCCCAGGCGGGCACGAAGAGCTCACCTGTGTCCTCAGGGGTCGGCAAGGCGGGTGCTGGCTCCAAGCTAAAGCTGGAGGTCCCGCAGGCAAAGGGTAAGAGCTCCCGGATGCGGGGCGGGGCGGGGTGGTCGGTGCGCAGGTTTGCCCGGTCTGCTGCTGTGCTCCCCGGCCTGCTGTCTGCTGGTTCACGTCAGCGTCACCATCATGCATGCTGCGCCTTGGCGCCCACCAGTCTTGCGCCCTCCCAGGGCCACCTCACTCCGATTCTGTGGTGGCACATGTCTCTCAGCATTACGCGGCATGATGGTCACCCCTCACCCGGCCTGCCCCCGCAGCCTGTTAGCGCTGCGTCCCCGGTGGCAGTGGCGGTGGGCGGGCAGCTACCATGCTTCTGCTCTGCCCTGGTCACGGGGTCACCGTCTCCCAAAAGGCTTTGCATCCACCGTTCCCGATCACGTCCATCCCGACGATGGTGCCCCTGTGCTCCGAGGGTCCTGAGGCCCCTGGACATGGGGACCCTCCTGCAGGCCCTTTGGACAGCTTGTTTCCTGGCCCCACATTCCTGGGGCTGCTCTACCCGCTTTTCTGCGGTAATGGTGCAGTTGGCTCTTTCGTGGGCACCTGGACGTCTCGGTGCTGAGTCGGGCTCAGGGAACACCTCGTGCAAAGGTCTTTGCCCAGCTCGTTCCTTTGGCGGAGCCGCCATCATGAAAGCCGCTCTGTTCGGAGCCAAGGAGGCCTGAGGACTGGCCATCACAGCTTAGCTGTACAGCCAGCAAACCACAGCTCGCTCGGCATCCATGGGCCTCACCTGGCCACGCCCTCACCCATTTGGAAGCCGGGGAAGTAGAGGCTCAGAGAGGGGAGTGATTCCCCTGGGCACACACAGCACAGGTGGTCAGGCTTGAGTCCCGAGCCCGATTCCCAACCGGACTCCTTCCCGCGGGTCAGGCTGCTCTGCAGGCACCAAGGGGGCCGGCAGTGGGGCCGGTGAGAACCAGCCTTTCCCAGCAGACCCCCGTACCCAGAACCCCCCCATGACCTGCATCCCTGCCATCACCTAGGCCCGAGTGCCAGCCCCCAGGAAGGCCAGGAGGACGGGCCAGCGGGATGGAGGGCCCGCCTGAAACCCGTGGAGAAGAAAAACCCTGCTGAGAGGTGAGGGGTGGGCAGGGCTCAGGGGGGAGGGGCACACCTGGACCCGCACCTGGGCTTGTGGGTTTGCACTCACGGAGCCTGGGCAGCAGCCCGTGTCCCAGGGCTAGCACTGGGGCCGACTGACACACCCACACGAGGGGTGTGTGCATGGCTGCCTGGAATTTTCTGCTGTAGCAGAAGCCAGGTCACACCAGCCTGAGTGAGTTGGGGACAGTCACATCGACCTGAGGGGGCGGGGCAGTCACACCGGCCTGCATTCCCTTCATGTAGCTGGAAAGTTGGGAGGGTGGACAGTTGCAGGGAGGGTCCATTGGGGGCCGGGACCCTCACTCACCTGAGCCAGCCTTGGCGGCCGAGGAGATGAGAGCCCGTCGGACCTGAGCCCAGAGTGGGGAAGTGGCTCGGTTGGGACCAGGAGGAAAAGGCTGCCACAGCCTTCCCTGAATGAGGCCACAGGTGCCCCAGCCAGACAGTCATGTGCACCAGTCCAGGGTCACCTGGACAGAGCAGCCGCCCCATGCCTAGTAGAGCGCCCACGGGCAGGCAGCACACCGGGGTCCTGGGTGGGTGCCTGGGCCCTGGGGTGCATTGGCTGCGGGCACCTGAGCACGTGCTCACACCCACCGATCTGGGCACACACCTGTGCTCTGGGGGGGTCACAGTCGGTTGGGTGCAGAGCCCAGAGCTGTGCCATGGGCTCCTTTCTGGCCTCCAGTGTCTGGGGGGGTGGCCCGTGGCCCCCTCGGCCGACCTCCTGCCCTCTGTCTAGGGGTCCAGACCTGAAGGAGCCACGGGTCCTGGGAGAGCCCAGGACGGGCAATGCACCTGGGAAGGTCCCTGGGAGCTCCAAGGGGCACGTCCGCACTTCTCCGGCCCACCTTGGGCCTGAGAGGACACGGAGCACAGGGAGCACTGGGCCCAGCCTCTCAGGTAGTGCTGGGCGGGAACCCAGGGCCCCAGGTGCGCGAGGAGCTGGTGTCTGGGCTGGCGGCCCATGCGCGTATGGTGCATGACTGTGCGTGAGCCTGCCTTCACACTTGTACTCATGTGTCAGTGTGGCTGTTCCCACACTCTCGGCTGCCCCTGGACCCACGTCCAGCCCCTGTGTCACCTCCTGCATGATCTTGAGTGTGTCTCCAGCCCACTGGGCTCATTTGCCCCTTTGCTGTCGATGGTGCAGACCCTGCCCTCCCTGGGTGGACATGGGCACAGGGATATGAGGACTGACCCCGTGTTGGCCCTGGGTCAGGGAAGCGGTAGGGGGGAGGGTAATGAGACTGCTGGCTTGTCATGTGACCGTGTCCCCTGCCCTCGGCAGCCACATCCCCCTCCCTATCCCCGTCCCCGAGCCGCCGCAGGAAGCTGGCTGTCCCTGCCAGCCTGGACGTTTCTGGAGACTGGCTTCACCCTGAGCCCCCAGAGCAGGAAGCCTTAGCCCGGAGCTGGAAGGAGAAAGAGAAGCCCCCTGCCCCCAACCCACCAGGTCAGCCCGGAGACACCGGCCCCCATGCTGGGTGGAATGCAGAGGAAGGGGCTCATCTGAGGAGGGAGTGTCTAGTGGGGTTTGCAGGGTGACGAGGAGCTCATGGGGTGCAGAACGGAGGGAAGGCAGCAGCCTGGGGCACGCCTGCAGCTCTGAGCTCTGCAGAGGTGAGGCGTGGCGGGGCCCGCAGGACTCAGCCCCCAGTGCCTCCCTGCGGGTGCCGACTGCACAGAGGCCCTGGGTCCTCCCGGCCCTTGACTCACCTGGCGATGATGGAGTGTCACTCTTGGCAGCTTTTCCCGGATGTGGTGTCCGGGTGCTGATGTGGGGGCGGCTGGGGCCCGGGTCTGCCATGGTGCCTGCACCCATCTGCGGCACCAGCGGGTACTTCTCGTGGCCTGCTGGGTGGGGTGGGGGCATCCCCAGTGGGGGGGTGGGCTGGTCTGGCAGCTGGGGGCCAGGTCCCCTTCCAGGCCACATCCGGGGCACATGGGGCCCCAGCTCCCCCAGGTCTAAGAGACTTGTCTTCCCTTCTCCAGGGAGGCCCTTGGGTTTGGCCAGTGGCCCCACTGCACCTGGCAAGCGAGTGACCAACACCATCATGGTGAGTGGGCCAGGGTGTGGGTGGGCTGAGACACGGCCTGGGCTCTCCGACCGCCCCTCAGTACCCCTTCATATCCAGCCACCCGCTGACTACGTGCCCTGGGAGATCCAGAAGCAGATGCAGGACATCGAGAGGCAGCTGGACACCCTGGAGCTCAGGGGCGTGGAGCTGGAGAAACGTCTGCGTGCGGCCGAGGGGGGTGAGCCAGGCATACAGGCTGCCCTGGGCAGGGCCACCCCCTCCCGCGAGTCCCGGCCTGACCCATCCCGGTCCCCAGGCTGCCCTGGGCCGGGCCGCCCTGTCTCATGAGCCCTGGCCTGACCCATCCCGAACCCCCCACCCCAGATGCCTCGGAGGATGTGCTCATGGTGGAGTGGTTCCAGCTCATTCATGAGAAGCAGCTGTTGCTGAGGCAGGAGTCGGAGCTGGTATATAGGTGAGGGCTGTGGCCCTTCCACCCTTCCGGAAGGGCCCTCTCCTGGACAGCCACTTCCTTTTGGTGCGGGCTGGGCTCAGGCACTGGGGAGGCCAGCCAGGCAGGCCGGGCCTCATGCCTGCGTCAAACTCGGCAGGGCCAAGGACCAGCGCCTGGCGGAGCAGCAGTTGGACCTGGCTGGGGAGCTGCGTCGGCTGATGGCCAAGCCCGGTGCGTCCCTCCGGCCGCTGGGAGCCCCGGCCACCTGGGGTGGTGCTCAGTCCGGGGGGTGGGCCTGGCTGTGGGCTTCCCAGGCCCTTCCGGCCGCCTGCCTCCGGCTGGCTGCCTGCTCCCGGGGGAAGGTTGATGGGTTGTGGTCATGGCACATGCTCTGGAGCCCAGGGTCAAGTCTTAGCTCCTCTATACTCCTGGCTGTGTGTCCTTGGCCAGGGCACTCAACCTGTCTGTGCTTGTAAAGTGGGGATGCTAGCCTCCAACCCCTTCAGCTGCAGTGATTAAGTGAGCTAATACGTGGGTGCACACAAGCGTGGCCTGTTGGCATTGTGGATGGCGTGGCCGAGGGCCTGGGGCTGGGGCTCAGGTCCCGGGGGTCCCGGCTCTGACTCTCCTTGCTGTGGGGCAGGGGCAGCAGCACTCGGTCTCTGATCTTGTTGTCCATCCACTCATCCATCTGTCCACCCATCCATCCGTCCATCCATCCATCTACCCATCCGTCCGTCCCTCCCTCCATCTGTCCAGCATTGCCAGGAGTTCACTGCAGAAGGGCAGACTCTGTCCCCATTGCCCCCAACCCCCCCCACTCCAGTGGAGGAGCCTGGCCGGGAGGAGTGGGGGCACTGTGTCCCTGAGCAGGTTGGGACAGCTGGGCACTGCTGAAGGCAGGCTGTCCCTGCAGAGGGTCTGAAGTCACCTCAGGACCGGCAGCGGGAGCAGGATCTGCTGAGCCAGTATGTGAACACGGTGGACGACCGCAGCAGCATCGTGGATGTCCTGGAGGAGGACCGGCTCAGGTGAGGGCGGGGCCTTGGGGCCCAGGTGACAGGTGCCAGGACCCCCACCCCTCCCCCGCCCTATCAGCCGGATCCCGCCGTGTGCAACTGCAGGTGGGGGCCCTGAGGCCAGGGCAGACTCAGCCTAGGCAGCCCGACTTTGAGGCTCTTCCTGACAGAGCCCCTCGAGCCCCGTGTTCCCTGACCCTCAGGGGTTTGCATGGATGGAAGCATTCTGTTCTGCGAGTGGCTCACTGGGGCAGCCACGGGCAGCTCCTAGGCACTTCTGTGACCCACGCGACCGAGGAAAGAAATTTACGTTTTATTTTTATTTAATTACACACTGCCACCTGTGTCTCCCGATGCTGCCCTGGGCCACCAGCTTCGTGACCATCCCCAAGGGGCGTTTCTGTCCCCATGTGGGAAGGAGAGGCCTGTTGAGGCCACGAAGTCAGTGGCCAAGGTTCTTAAACATGTTACTCTATGAGCTTGAGGGAGCCCTGGCCCAGGTCCTCCAGGGCTCTGTCCTCACGTCACCGATGCGGGTCTGCACCCAGAGGGTAGGCAGGTGGGAGAGCAACTGACATAGATGTCAGAGGGCTCGGCGCTCGGGTGTGAGTCGGACAGCCCGGTGTCCTCCTCTCGAGGGCAGGCTGCCCTCACCGCCATGCCGCCCCTGTTTCAGAGAGCAAGAGGAAGATGAGATGCTACAGAACATGATCCAGAATCTGGGTAACTGCGGGGCCAGGGCGGGTGTGGGAGCGGTCGGGCCGGGCCTCCATGGGGTGGGTGCCAGGCTCCGTATGGCAGGTGCGGCCTTAGGACAGAAGGCTCCCTGGAAGGGAGCAAGCTTCCCATCACTCAGAGGAGCCACCCATCAGCTCCTGATCCTGTGGTCGGGGCGAGGGTGGTGCCCGGTCCCGGTGGGGGCTCTAAGGGCCAGCACATAGGTGGTTCCCACAAGGGAGGGTGGAGGGCCTGGCTTCCTATAGGCTCCAGGGGCCCAGGGAGGGCTCTGGTGGGTGGGAAGGACATTCTCAGCAGGGGCAGTGTCCTCCGTGTCTGTCCCCCTAGACCTCCACAGAAGCAGTGGGGACCAGAGGAAGAAGCCCAAGTTCCGCTTGTCCAGGATCTGGTCCCTGAAGGGCAGAAGCAGGACCCCCGAGTGAGCTGCCTGGCACCCTTGCCCTTGACCCAGGCAGGGTGGGCACCGTGAGGGTGGGAACGTGGGGGTGGAGTCTGAGTGCCTCAATAAAGAAACTGACCATGTGGCCTGGGTCCCTCTCCTGTTTACCATGGGCTCCTGGGTGGCCTGGCATCTGGCTTGGAGGGCGTGGCCAGTGTCCAGTTCTGCGCCAGTGTGGACGTGTCTGTGGCCTTGAGCTGGTGCTGACCCTCCCTGGATTGGCCTGGACCCTCAGAGATGGGCGTTTTAGCTGCTTCCTGGCCTGGCTGTGCGGACAGGACCCGGCCACAAGGCGGGTCTGTGCTGGCTGCACTCGGGTGTGGGCCCCACACACCATCTCCAAAGTTCCAGGTCTGTGACCTTGGCCTTTAGGGTGGAGGTGAGCTATGCCCTGGGATGAAGGATCGTTGCCCCAGGCCCAGTGGGGCTCACTGCCCTTCCAGACCTCCGGTGGAGAGAAGGCAGTCGAGGCAGAGAAGGCCAAAGGGGGGGCACCTCACCCAGAGTCCTTGCCCAGCACTGCCCGCACCAGGGTGGCTGGGAGAGTAACTTCTCCTTTGGGCCTCAGTCTCCCCGTTTGTGAGTTGGCGTGTCTCTGTTCTGTCTCCAGCCACCGCGGGAGCCCACCGGGCGGTCCTGGCAGGCCCTCGGCACCGCCATAGCACCGACGCTCCCCGGCTTGGTAACAGACAGGGTCGACACCCCACGGGCCCCAGTAAGGACAGAGCAGGAGACCCTGGCTGTGCTGGGGCTCCACCAAGCTCCCACTCATCCTGTGCCTTTACAGGGCTCTGGTGGGTCTCAGCCAGGGACTCTTGGGACTTGAGGTTGAAGTGTGACATGGGACAGGAGGGCGGCTACCTGGTACAGAGATGGTGCAGGAAGGCTCAGCTCTGTGGCCTCTGGCAAGGCCCTGCCTCTCTGAGTTTTGATGACCGACATCTCGGCTGCAAGTGGGCTGTGAGGATGGACAGGGCCATGGGGGCGCTTCTGGACGAATGGTGGTGGCAGAGCAGCCGGGAGGCCTCCCACTTGCCCTCCCATCCCAGGGGGACCCCCGCTGGAGGGGCTGGAGGGCTGGGTGGTGGAAGGTGGTCTTGAAGGCTCTGGCCGGTCCCCCAGCTCACCCCAGGGGCACCAGCCAGGTCCTCCCAGGCTTGCTTCCTGGGCCAGTGGCAGTGTGGCCTCTTTACCACCAGGGGGAGGCAGAGGGCCACCCAGCAGGGACGGGGCAGCCGGTGCCCGGGAGAAGCTGTGTTTTATAGACAAGCAAATCGGCTGAGAGAGGCCATGGGACCCTCCTGAAGCTACACAGCAAGTTAGGTGGGGCCTGGACCTGGAGCCTAGGACCCTTCCATGAGGGTCTGGGCGCCCCTGGTGGGGTGGGGTGGGTGTGGAGTCTTCGAGATGGGGATTCCATGGAGGGCATCCGGTCCCACCCAGGACAGTGCAGGGGGCATCTGGGGACACGTGCCCCAGGTGTCCCATCGGGGTGAGGGTGCACCCCTCACCACGGTGCTCCCTGGGGTGCCAGCTGGGCACAGGTTGGTGCTTAGCGACAGAGCCCTGCTGGTGGAGCCCCGGTGCCCGCAGAGCCGGTGAACACCGTCATGGCAGGACACGCATGCACACGACGTTGGGGACACAGGGTCACTGGGTCCTGCAGTGTCCATTTAGTCAGCGGGCAGAGCAGGAGGGGAGCCCTGGGGTGGGTGCCCCCAGGTGCAGGTGGGGCACCTTCACCGCTGCCCACCCCAGCTTGGATCCAGGACCTGCCCAGGCTCCACCCCCAGGGACCCCTGACTAGGAGGTTCCAGAAGGCACAGCTAACAAGCCAGATGCAAGCCCACATCAGCTGTGTGGTTCCCAAGGCTGTGCCGTCTGCATACAGGAGGCGCCCTGTGTGTCTGGGCCTTTCTCTCCCCACACAGGGCCCAGAAACACTGGGGTTCCCATAAGTAGAGTTAGGGAGGGGGATGTCTTCGTGGGGGGCTATTAGGGTGTGCCGTTCCCTGGGCTGTACCCCTCCTCACACTCACCACACGCATGATGTCAAAGGACATAAAGGACAGAAATTTGGAGGATCGCAGGGAGGGGAGTCGGCCAGCGTAGCTCCACCTGGAGGAGCAGGTGTGGAGTGTGGGGCAGGGCTACTGTCTGCCCTGCCCACCAGGGAAGGCGGGGCTTAGGATGGCTTCCCACGGCCCCTTCCCTGTTCCTTCTGTTCCCTGGGCTCCAAGCAGACACACACCACAGGGCCTTTGCATGGGCTGGTGCCTCCGTCTGGAACCCCACCCCCCACAAGGCTGACTCCTTATTTTTCGGCATCTGCTTAGCCGTGTCTTCCTCAGAGAGGTTTCCTGAGCCCTGGCTCTCTGCCCACCACCCCGGCAGGTTTTCTCACTTGGAAGTCACCTTCCGGACTTAGGTATTGGTTTTGTGTTCCCTAAGACGGCCTTTCCCCAAGTCAGGGAGCTCGTCTGTCCCTGGCACCACTGTGTCCCCAGCACCCAGAACATGGTAGGAGTGCAGCAAATGTTTGCTGAGTCAATGTACAAAACCTGTGTCTTAAGTGGTGACATGGGACCAGCCAGCAGCCTTTCCGGGCCTCAATTTTCTCTCCTGTGCCACAGAAACAATGGTGCCGGCCCTGGGCGTGGTCATGGCTGGCCCCCCTGACCCTCACCCCTGGCCTGGGAGAGTCAGTGCTGCGCTAAGCAGAGCGCCCACCAGCAGGCGCCAGGGAAGTGGAGGGATGCGGGATCTGGGGTGCAAGGTCTCTGGGGGGATTTTCTGGGGCATCACAGTCTCCCAGGCCCAGAGAGGGAGCCGGAACCCCATCCCCAGCCTAAGCCCTCTCCCCACGTAAGGGTCTGCACAGTGTTCAGGGGACCGGAGGCCCAGGAATGCCAGAGAGGGGCTCACTCGGCAACCCCGTCCTACACAGCCCCCTGCCAGGAATACAGGCTTCACGTACAGCTCTAAATAACGGCTGAGGCCACGCCTCACCCCTGCAATCTCCACCAACTAGACCCAACCCTCCTCCCTCAGTCCTTGCCCTGGGTGGAGCCCCTGGATGGGGGTCTCTGTCTGTGACGGGTGAGACTGCCTTGGCCCTTCCTGTGGATGGCACCTCAGCTCCTGCGACCCCCTCCCATTCTAGAGAAGGGGATCAAGGCCCAGAGAGGGCAAGGGCCTTCCCCAGGTCACACAGCAAGGACAGAGGCTGGAGGGGGACGGGGCGGCAGGGCTGTCCTTGGGGGCAGGGCTAGCAGGGGGGGTCCTGGGGGCCACCTGGGACGCTGGCCTCCACAGAAACCGGGGAGTGTTAGCCAGCACTCTGTCCTTTGACAAGAGGGGAAACTGGGTCACGGAGGAGTGCCCAGGGTCACATGTCAGGAGTGGCAGGCCCTGGATTCTGGTGCCCTTGATCTGTGTGGATGCAGGTGCAGGGACCCCGTCTGTCAGGGTCTGGGCGGGAGCCACTGTCACTCCATGAATGTGTGTGGCCTCTCTGTGTGGACTTCATCTCCCCCTCGTGTCTCTGGGGCCCGGGAAGAAAGGGCAGCTCAGGTCTCCATGCGCTGCCTCCTGGGTCTGAGCTGGGTCCCTCCCTCCCACCCACGTCCCTCCTGGCCCCCCAGCTGCAGGACCGGCTGCCTCCCCCCTCCCCTTGTGTGTCCACGGAGGGGGCCCTGCTTGCCCAGCAGTCGGCTGTGCTGGAGCCGGCACAGAGGCCAGAACCGAGCCCATGCCTGCCTGCCTCCCCCCAAGGCCCGTCCTGCCCTGGGAGGGCCTCCTGCCTGCGCTCGCTTCCGGCCTAGGACTGTGCGTTCTGCTGGAGGGTCATCAAGCCCCCATAGGGGGTCTCAGGGCATCCTGGAGCTGCAGGCGCCCAGAACTGTGCTTGTGGGCTGTGTTTGTGATGGTGGGTCACGTCCCCGGGGTCCAGCAAGCCCCTACCCCAATGGCAGGGCTGCAGCCGGAGCGCTGGGGCCTCACCTCTCCTCCCACCTGCTGCGCCACAGACCTTGCACCCTTCCTCCTGCAGGCTGGGGCCTCCCTCCCTCTAAGGCTGCTTTGGCTCCCACAAGCTAGAGCTTTGCCCTTGGGGCCTTCCATCCCTGGGCCCCTCTCCCTTGCCTCCCCGGGTCCCTGCCATTGTGCTGGTCCCCCTGGGGGTGGCCTCCGGGCCCTCCTGCCCCAAGGCCAGGGTTTCAGATTCTACGCTCACGAGGTCTCCCAGGTGGGCCAGAACACTGATGAAGACGGACAGAGCAAACGTGGCCCATTACATTGTTAATAAAGAATATCACACACACACCTTAATCTGCAGCTGGCCTGACACTTTACAAAGTACATTAGGATGTAATCCAATTGAAGCCGCAATATCGAGAACATCTTATCTTATCACAAATTGAAATTATATCATATTCCTCTTTTCTTAAATTAAAAAGCTAAAACCTTTCCGTTTGCTCTCACACGGTTGTGTAAAACTTAATCAGTGGTTTTAACAACATTATATTTCCATATGGGCAATTTCTGTTCTCATTTGTTTTTGAGGGAGAACTTTCTAGAAAGGGGTGACTGCATCGGTGGGTGGGGGTTGGTGCCCGGCATGGGGGCTGGGGTCAGAGTGCGAGGCTCCGGGGGTACAGGGCCAGCCCTAGCCTCTGCACCACAGGAGGCAGGGGTGAGGGGTTTGGGTTCTGAGCGTCCTGAGGACGCGGAACAGAGCAGAGCTGGGCTGTCAGACAAGCAAAGTTGACTCGCTGCCGGTTCCGAGGCCGAGGGCCGAGGTGTCGGGGCCATGCTCCCTCCCAGGGCTCCAGGGGAGGGTCCCTCTTGCCTCGTCCAGCTCTGGTGGCTGCCGGCTATCCTGGGCCAGTGGCCACGGGACTCCAACCACTTCCTCTGCAGCCACGTGGCCTCCTCCCTGCATGCGTGTCCATGTTCCCCTCTTCTGTGAGGTCACCAGTCCCTGGACTGTGGCCCACCCTGGTCCAGTGTGACCTCAACTTAGCCATCACATCTGCAGGGTCCCTACTTCCAAGCAAGGTCAGGTTCGTGGGCCCCAGAGTCGGG